CTCCTCGCTTTCCACTTTCTGTTTGTCTGTCATCAGAAAAATCTTCCCTACCGCGGCAACGGCAAGTACAGGCATTTTGTAGGGGGGGAACGAGCTATTCCAGCGACCACCTAAAACAGAGCCGGAAATTCAATTAAGTTGGAAAAAAAAAAGGCCCGCGACCGGATCAGAAACACAAAATAGTGGCACGAACGACGCGGGAGCTGCCCGGGGGATGCTGTGTGTCAGACTTCTCTTCCTCGATGGGGAGGCTCAAGATCTGCCCCCGGGATTGTCTCCGGCAGCATCGACGGGGCGCACCTGCCCTCCTCCGCACGCCGCGCAGGGGAAGCGCGGGGCGGGGAGGCGGCTAAACGCGAGGGGGAGAGGAGGCAGCTTTCCACAACTCTTGTTTTACCATCTTGCATAAGGCGTTTTTCAAAAACAACAGGTGAAGACTTGAGAGGAAGGTCTAATTCTTGTATTGCCTTTCTTTCCCTTGGGGGCACTAACCTGTGCACGCAAATGGGGATGTTTCTGGACAGTTTTCTTGCAAATTGCCCGATAAATGTATCGTCCAAGCCTGTATATCCTTATTCATCCAAACGCAGTCAAGAGAACTTTTCTAATGATTAACGAGCAAAATTCAAATAAAGCTGTGCTGCTTGTGAAACAAAGCACCATATTATTTAAAATAGCGTTTCTCAAATTTTCTGGGGCCATGTAACCAGTTTTCAACCTCAGCATTTCTCATGATCTCTATTTATTCTTAGTATCAAACCTGTCACTCAGAACACTCAGTGGAACACTTTCTACATTCCATTTATAGTATCTGGTACTCAAATTGCAATTTGGGAGCCACTGAAAAAAGAAATCTGGCTGCAAAAAGGAAATTTGTCATGCAAAATGCCAAGATTTTTCACCAATATTCATACGGAGCATTGTACTGAGCAAAGAGCACATATGGGGTGGGTTACATTTTGCCTGTCCTTTCTGTTGTGTAATGCATTCAGTTTCAATTTCTGCCCTGCACTGTTGTATAAATTGAGAATTTCCAGAATTTGTATGAATCGTTTGACTACGAGGCCAAGGTAATTTTATGAGTGACCGTAGATTCAGACCTACATGTTTTAGTTTTAATTAATAAAGTCTTTTTCTTAAAGAGTTCATATAGTTTATGGAATGAGCTTTTGTTTTATTTTATTTTGTATTTTTTTTTTGTCTCTTATATCCTTCTTTCTGGCAACTGTGCCAAAGGGAAAATAGCTGAAACAAGACAGACCTGGGACCTTGTATGGGTAAAGCGCTGTTCATGGTGCCCCTTTATATGGCACTGCAGGCAGCCTTGCACCTTGCTAGCTGGAAAGTTACAATGCTGCTACAGTTCTTGTGCCATGCCATCTCACAGTCCACCAAAATGAGTTGTCCATACATCCCCATTTCCTGAGGACCCTCCTCCTCCATCTTTGGGGACGATAACATAATTAAAAATTTGTATTTAATCATCTGTAATCCTGCAGATGAGGGTTTACACAAAACATTCTAAGAATCCTAACTTTCAAAATTAGGCAAGAGATGAAAAGTGAGGGGTGTTTTGATTTCCTTTTTGGGCAATATTCAAGTCCTAGAGGCGTTGCTCTGTGTGGGAGAGGTACATCCCCAAGAATCATATGTACCCCTGTTAATTTTTTTAAAGAAAAGCTGAGCAAGATTCAGGGCCATTTTTGCCCTGGGTGTACAGGGAGTATGCATGTGCCATAAGGTCTTATGCAGACATCAGTCCTACGCAAGGCTCCAGAGGAGTAGTAGGTTTCGTTACAGCTTTGCAAAAGCAACATCTTTACTGCACCTGTTCTGCTCAGGCACCTCCCTCCAGCACTGCAGCAAGAGCTTTACTCTCTAGCTCCATTTTACAGAGATATTGACTGCTACTACACCACAAGGCAGAGGATCTTTACACCCTCCTCTTTCTCCGAGCAGGGCTGAGCAACTGATGTGACTGGCACACAGCTAACCAAACTGAGACCGGGAGATGAGGGCTGCTGTCTCACACACAGGCAAGATCCTGCCACAAAATGGTTATTTGTGAATTGCCTTCTGAGAAGCAACATCCAGCAGCGCTTATTGAGTTCCTATTGCCATGCCTTGGCTGAAGATGAGGGGCAGAGAAAGAGCTCACACACTGCCCATGCTACCCCCTGCTTTACCTCCCTCCCATGTCTCCAGAGAGTCTGTAGTGATGGCCATGTAAAAAAACCAGCATTTGGAGACTGCGCTTGTCTCCTCTATTACAGAACTACACATTTGCTTGAAAGTGCCCTCCATACACGAATATTTATGCCAATAAATCTGTTCTGAAAGCAGTGATTTAATCAAAGGTGTGAAAGTCTTTCCAGTCTGACCCTGAGGTCTGCTACCTCCCACACTGCAGTTGCTGCCACTGCTATGAACATGGCTGAGGAGAGATGTTCCAGACTGAGAGAATAAACATGTCTCAGAAAGGCTTCAGTGCTTTGAGTTTCAACCCCAGATGCAGTGCCAGCCCTACAACAACCTCCAAAGCAGGGTCTGTAGGGCTCGACAAAGCACCTTACAATCTGGCCTCAGTAAAGGGCAGAGTTGGCTGGGTGTAAGGCCTTGTGTTTCAAGGCTAAGCTGACTACTTACCTCGGAAGTAGAAAGAAATGGAATTGGGCTCCAGTAATTTCTGCTTGCATGGTAGTTTTTCTGAGAGGTTCTCACATAAGCACAGGCACATGTGCACACACACACACATGCATATATATCACCTCCAATGAACTGTGACTCAGAATGATAGTTCCCTCCCTGTTTTCTTCTACCCTGGACGGAGATAAGAATGACCAAGTCTTTAAGCATATTTTAACACTGTTCAAGCACATCCCTCTTTTCAGATCTAGAGAGGGCAAAGGGGTGTGAAAAAAACTTTGCATTTCCCGTGTTAGAAGTAGTGAACATTGATTACCTTTATTTATCTGCAGTTGCCTTATTGCTCACTTCCCACTGACTACCCAGCACCCTGTATAATATCTTCTGCACAGCTTGTCAGCACCTATGCAACCCAGCAGTGCTGGTGAGCATGAGGAATGGAGGAGCAAAGGGAGAAGTGCATGGAGCCAAGGCTTCTCTCAGTCTCCACTTCTCTCCATCTCCATTCCTCCCACCGCTTGCTGTCCTGATAGACAGTTCTTGTGTTCCTCAGGGCATCTGGGATCACAACATAAGCAAGGACAAATAAAACATAGAAGAAATTAACTTAGTCTTTCTCTCTCCCCAACATGCCTCCGTGATGAATCAGAGCTGACCAGTCTCATTCATGGAGTAGGTAATTCAGACATGTGGTTCCTTACAATTAGGCCTCACACATTTGCTTGTTTAGTACTAGCTCTTGTTCCAGGAACTATTTGCTTCCAGCAAATTTGCTGCAG